AATTGCCGATGGCCGCTGTCTAGGGGTATCGCATAAACTTCGTTCAGCGACGTAGAAAAAAGCAAGACTTTTCCTTCGTTTCTTTTTCAGAGAGAGAGAGGAGAGAGAGAGAGAGAGCGGGAAAGAAAACGAGAGAAGATTGCTTGTCACGCTGCTGCTGCTGCTGCAACTGCTTTTTTGGGGTTTGCCAGCAGCAAAGACTATGTTGAAAAGTTAATAGGGAACAAGCAAAGAATCCTAAAAATATCACTTTGCTCTTTTTGTGCGCAGCAAGAACGTATGTTTTGATTTACTGACTGGGTAAGGTTCACTGCATACCACTGGCACAGGCTTGAAACTTGTCCACCCAGAAATTCAACGCATATGTAATGCTAGAATGCATGAGGCATTGACTGGTGTCATAATGAATGCAGTTTTAAATAGGAGTCATTGATTAACGATCACCCATCGCTAATAAAACTCACGCGTTCCGCTCTGCCGTGGAGTTCATCCTCGAGCCCCGCCAGTAGCTACATACTAGCTTGTAGATTAGGCGAAGACAAGGGAGACTGGAATGGCCATTTCTGGCTCATTAGCCGTTATCAGCCAGCCATACGCGATCTCCACCACCTCCTTTTGCTCAGGAGTCTAACACTCTGACAATTGAGCTACGAGCTCGTTGTCTTGCCGATTTAATTCGGGAATATTGACATTCGCCGATTAACTTTGAGTGATCGCTAACGGAACCTACTCGTTGTGCTCTGGTTAGAAGGCCAGACGTCTGATTAAAGAGTCGCGGGTTCGAGCCTCGGGTGGTGCGCCACTTGGGGTTGGGTATGACTGGCTGATGACGGTTAATGAGCCAGAAAGGGCCATTCCAGTCTCACTTGTCTTTGCCAGCAATGCTATCAGTTAAATAGGAGTCACATGGTCTATAAGCAATGAAGGTAATCTCGACGGTAGACAAGCACATTGGTAGGCTAGCTTTCCACCTTAGCGCCAACCTGACCTTAGAAGAACACGTTACGAGAAAATATGCTCACTAAAGTACGGTATGCCTTTCGCGCTATGTTTTATTCTTAACATATGCAATTTCAAGTTCAAGTGCAAGTTGCATAATATGGTCTGCCATTTAAGTTATTTTAAATTATTTTCTTCGTAAACACCAAATGTGATTCGTAATTTATGCGCAGACCTTGGGGCAGTAAAATCACTGCTTTTACCTAAAAGGTTAGTTTTCGTTACCAGGTACATGCTGATACGTAGGGTTTACGGAGGTAGCCTACCTAAATTAGAGGCCTGATTTAAAGTCCTCATTTATATCCATTTCCTCACGGATAAACGGTAAATATAACTTCTAAGAGTGTTCCCATAGGCGCTATAACTGAATAGTAACTACCTCTATTATTTGCAACTAGAGGGGAGGAGAACGGATCTAAAGATACGTCAAGTATTCAAATTTCCAAATTTATCTTAACGCACCAGTGACACTAACCAATTAAATTAGCCTCCTGCAAAACGCGCCATATTAATAAATCATTCACCTTGAAACACTAATTAAAAAAGTTGGCCTCCCAAAAGTCCTTTTAAGAAGTTGAGTTTTTACTCTAGAGTGGATATAAGAAATTAATTTTCTTTAATATAGTACGATAGTTTGGGTACTTGAACAATCGAGAATTGCGGCTTTTTGTAGAATAACTATCATGAAAGATTAGGTCACGTTTTTCAAGCACTATATTTTCTGCCAATACGACTTACTACCGGCGAAATCCTTTGGTGTTTCGAAATGCATGTACAAGCTTTAATGTCCTGTTCAATTTTAACACCTTGATAATCTGCCTTCGGTGTGGAGACAAGCGGACCATTTTACTCCGATGACCTCACTCCGACGGGTGAGTTGACGTCCGTCAAATTACTATTAGTATTTGATTCCGGATGACTAAAAGTACGGAACTTGTATACAACTCTCCGGCTTTGTAATTTTACTGAAAACGCGTAGAACCTTTCCAGTAGCTCAGACAAAGGCCAAGCTAAAAGATATTACCGGCAAAGACAGGGCAAAGTGGAATGGCCATTTCTGGCTTACTAGCCGTCATTGACAAGCCCTCGCCCAACCGAAGGTTTTGCAACCCCCTGAGACTCAAATCCGCGACTTGTTGGTTAGAAGTTCAACATTCTAACCGTTGAGCCACGAGCTCGTTGCTCTGTCGATTGTGATCATATAGTAGGTTGAACTATTACCACCCACGAACACACAACATTAATTGTCAGAAGCAGGCGTACTCATGACCACATAAATTCAAACACACCCTTCTGTTGAACGTTAGCAATAAAACCCTCGGCAGAACAGCTGTGCGATCAAGAGGTTTGGCGGTATATATTGCTGACAATCCCAGCTATAATATAGCTGGAATGGGAGGGGACAAACGAGCTGGGCCTTGCAGTACAAATCCATGACAGGTGTTCCGTTGTGACAACCCCAAAAGAGGCCGCAA